AAAATAGTTTACACTCATCTCAAGTGTTTCGAGTTGAAATGGACATAATTGCACGGTGCCTGTACCATATATACCGTAGAAATTCATATTTTCAATATGGCAAGTATTATCGAAGTACCTTGAAAAAACTAATTTTTTGTTATGTTGCAAAATGATCGGAATTATTTTAAAAGGGCATAATTCTCTCTGCATTTGATGCTGATAGTCTTATCATTTTGTATTCTGGAAAAGCATCACTGTGATAATTGATTTATTTTATTTCCAGATGTATATAATAACACAAGTATCACAAAACAAAGGCAATGTGTGCACCACAGCTCATAGTTCGAATATCCGTTTTATACTGAAAAACGCAAATATGCACGCATATTTACATACGCATATATACATACACTCACAAAGTGACATTTGCTCATCATTTATACTCGTATAAGGCAAGACAATATTGATCACTTTTTGAAGCCTTATCGGTATATAATAGTTATATATTTCAACATGTAAGATTCTGCATTAAATGCAGAGAGAATTTTGAAATTTTGAAGTGACTTTGATCATTCTGCAATATAACAAAAATTAGTTTTTTCAAGGTACTTTCATAACACCTGCCACATTGAAAATATGAATTTCTGCGGTATATATGACACAGGCAATCATGTCCGTTCCTCAGCTCAAAACACTTGAGATGAGTGTAAACTATTTTGAGAGATACATTTTGACGAAACGCATCAAAAATTTGGGAGGCATCAAAATCAGGCCTTACAGATAATCATCCTTTAAGTCTTGTGAAATATTTTCTTTTTTTATTTTAATAATCCATTAATTATTTATACATTCTTAAACAAAAGAATATTTCTCTTCCATTAATACCAGAAAATACGAGTAAATCTACCTAAAATACAAAATTTTTCTATTTTTTAAGAAATGTATTCAAGTTTTTAATTATTAATTTATATACATATATACAAAGGTAATTTGAAAATTTTGCGACTTAACAATAAAAGCATGCAACTTTGTTTCAAATTACTTTTATTTTTTAATATGGTCTCTCCAACTTCAATGCACTTCATCTAATGATGTTTCAAGTTTTTTATGCTATTATAGAAATCCATTTCTTGAAGTTTCTCAAAATAGTTATTCATTATTATCAGTTATTTATTATTATCAGTCATCTGACGAAAATCGTCCTCCACGAAACTTTTTTAATTTTGGAAGCAGATTGAAATCTAAGAGGCTATATCTAAAGGGCTGTCTACAATACGTCGTATGTCAAATCGTAAGAATTGACCAATCACAGTTGAATGTAAGAAAAATATTTGACTATTATTGGTCAATTCTTAGTTAGTATGATATGAGTAGTGACTAACGGCTTATTGTAGAAAGTCCCTAAAGAATACATAAGATAAGAAAATTAATCGTATTCAATTTAGTTAGAG